TTTTATATTGCCTGAAAGTCTGCAAGGACTCCTGAGCCAACTACCAAATAAAAGGTTTACTTGGCATGTCCATCGTCCCCTGGGCTCTCAGGCATTAAGGTATGTCCCTGGAGAGGAGTGGTGGGTAGAAGATATCCTACCTTTACTAAGTCCCTCAAAAACTCCTGCCTCGTATCACCTGAAGTGGGTAGAGTCAACTGCCACATTGCTTGATTAGAAAGACACAGTAGGATGCAAAACAAACACAAGGGTCAGCTGTATGCATAGCAATATTTGGGATATGCGGAATGGAGCAGTTGTAATAACTGGTGAGATTTCAGCTCCTTTAATATATCTGTAGATAACTACACTATGGCTCGCAAAAGATAAAACACTAACTATTGGGACACTCCTTATTTTAAGAGAATCCTGCTTCGTATTTCAAAACACTGCACTCCCCCAAACACATAATGGGTGTCCCTTATTTCTATACAATGACACCATTATGGATACAGGAGACTCTCGCTTATCCAACATAAATGGGACAGCAGAAAATTGCATAAGCAAAAATGTTGGATAATAAGGAGGAATTAAGGAAAAGCCTGTTAAATGTCAAATTACATTATGATTTTACAAATTAAGCACCAAAACATCATGATTTACAACAAATCAACAGAAAAAAGCAGTTTAATATATGGCAATGTATTGTAGTAATAACTGTATTTATGAATTTAGCACCAAAACATTGCAATGTATTGAAACAGCTGTGGATCCAAGCGGGAGGCAGACTACATTGGATATTACAGAATGTTGGATGAGCGAAGGTTGGATAAGCAAGACTCTACTTAGTTGAATACCACAGCACTGTGATGAACATTCCCTTTCAAAATCTTGGCAATTTCCCAGGAGCTGAATTATCCTTCTCATAATCATGGTCCTTCAGAGGACCATCTCTTATGATCATTTAACCAGGATGTGCAAAAAATGATTGGAGGAAATGGAGGCATTCTCATGTCCTTGGCTCAACCCATTAATATGTGCATTATAACTCTGGAAAAAGTAGCTCTTTTCTTTGGCTTTGGACTCTTCAAAGAAGCTCCATATTCTAAAGTGCCCACCCAGATCAATCTGTAAGGTGTAATTATTAATGAGCGGAGGATGGCCTCCTCCCTTGATGCTTTGTTTCTCCAGAGGTTGCTCAGAACTATACTTTCTGGTGTGAGAGCACCAGGGTGTTACCTCAGGTATAACTATTGGGGGGGGGGGGGATTCCCACAAATAAGATTCCTGCCCACTTCCAATGAAATGTTCCTTCAGGTAACAGATTTTGAGAACTTAACATTTCAGTTGCATATTTAGAAACACATTTTTGGTAAAGTTGAGTACAGTAGGCACTTCATATTTACTGGGGTTTGGTTCCAGGACCCCTTGTGGATACCAAAACTAAGTCCCATTATATATATAATGGTATAGGCATATAATGGTCCCTCATATGGAATGACAAAATCAAGGTTTATCTTTTAAAACAAAACAAAACAAAACAATTTTCAAGCTGTGTGTAGTGAATCTGTGGATACAGAATCTGTAGGTACAATAGGCTGACTCTACCTCCAATCTAAGAGTTCTTGGTGTATTTTCTTTGAATATTTGCAAGTCAGAACAGTTACATTTTATAAATGTAACTCCAGCTATATATGTTCCATGCAGTCATGCCAGCCACATGACCTTGGAGGCATCTATGGACAACGCTGGCTCTTCGGCTTAGAAATGGAGATGAGCACAAACCCCCAGAGTTGGACATGACTAGACTTAATGTTAAGGGAAAACCTTTACTTTACTGTCTATCTATCTATCTATCTATCTATCTATCTATCTATAAGCTTTGGCTAGCATAGAGAAGGGTTGACACTCCTGTGGAGTTTGTTTTGCTACCTGTGCCCCTGTTCAGAAGATTTTCCCTCACTTTCTGTCCCTGTGATAATTGGATTTTGAAAAATACATTCCTTGTTGTGGAAACAAGGATTGCTGATAAAGCTTCAGTGGGGATATCTTTTCCGCACGATAACTCTTCCATGAATGAATTTCCCTTCAGTGGGGTAGATTTCTCTCACTTCCTGTTGTCTCACCCCATTCTCAACTATGAGTTGTTTGCAAGTAGAATGTTTGTAACTCGAGGACTGCCTGCATTCCCTTTAAACCCAATTAACTTGGAAATAATCAAACACAGCCACATTAAGAGCAATAACAACTATTAATAAGTAGTTTGCAGTCCTCGTAGTTAGAGGTGACACATTGAAACCTAAACTGACCAGGAACTTTTGACATTGGGTGCATCTATACTGAAGAATTCACACAGTTTGACACCACTACAACTGGCATGGTCTAATGCTATGGAGTCATTGAAGCTACAGTTTTACAAGGACAACTCTTTAGCCAAAGAGTGCGGGTGCCTCACTAGACTATAGTTGTCAGGATTCAATAACACTGCGCCATGGCAGTTAAAGTGGTGACAAACTACATACACTCAACAGTGGAGATACACCCTACCCTTAGAAATGGCTACTCTGATTGCTGTGCTTACTGAAATCAGGGGGACCAAGGTTATTCATACAGACCAATGGTTCCCAACCTTTGGGCCTCCGGTGTTTTGGACTTCAACTCCCAGAAATCCCAGCCAGCTGAAAGGCTGTAAGGAACTGTGGGAGCTGAAGTCCAAAACACCCGGAGGCCCAAAGGTTAGGAACCAGTGATATAGACTCAGCAGTTCCCAACCTGTGGTCCGTGAACCACCAGTGGTCCACAAGAACTAAAATACTGACTGTGGCCCCACTGTTACTACAACTTTACGACAAGAGCGACTGGTCTCACAAAACCCAGTTCTAGTGTCAAGGCTTATTGAATATGGTTTTCTGTGGGTGAGCAGATGGTGACTACTAGATAGCAGATATTCTGTATCAGAAACTATAGCTGATGGGATTTATCCAGTGCAATTTTCTGAATCAGCACCCCAAATAACAAACTGAATCTAAAGTTGATCAAAAACTGATTCGTAACCCTTTTGGCACTAATGTTGGAGAGTGGTCCCCAGTCAAAGTGGTCTCTGGTCAAGAAAAGGCTGGGAACCACTGATATAGAGTGTAGTCCAGGCTTGCTGAAGTCTCATTGCTTTCAAGGGGTCTGCTCTAAGCATGATTCAATCATGGACTGAAACCTTAGCAAACACTGAACTCACCAAAACTCACCTCTGAAATGATGTCATGTCAAACAAAGGATGGGAAGGGAAAGTTATGGAGAAGAGGGTCTCTATTTCTCTCTCCCCCCCCCCAACCTTCTGGAAATGTCCCTTTCTTTGAGCAACTTTAGTTGAGAAATAGTTGGGAAGTGTGGAAGCAGCAAATCTCTCTGCCATCTCCCTTTCTCCAGCCCTTTCCTTCAACTATTGGGATAACTCTGAAAAAAAAGAGGTGTTGGAGAGGAGAAAGTGTCATGATGGCACCTCCAGGACTAAAACAATACTTCTTAGCAGATCTCCCTTTGTGTCCAACAAGCCCTTGGCTGTATCTACACTGTAGAATAAATGCAATTTGACACCACTGGAATTCTGTCATTTCACAGGGTGTTCGAGCAGTATTTCTCAACCTGGGTGTCGGGACCCCGGGGGGGGGGGGGGGGGGGGGGGTGTCAGAGAGGTCACCAAAGACCATCAGAAAACACAGTATTTTCTGTTGGTCATGGGGGTTCTGTGTGGGAAGTTTTTTGGCCCAATTCTATCATTGTGGGGTTCAGAATGCTCTTTGATTGTAGGTGAACTATACAAATCCCAGCAACTACAACTCCCAAATGTCAAGGTCTATTTTCCCCAAACTCCACCAGTGTTCACATTTGGGCATATTGAGTATTCTTGCCAAGTTTGGTCCAGATCCATCATTGTTTGAGTCCACAGTGCTCTCTGGATGTAGGTGAACTACAACTCCAAACTCAAGGTCAATGCCCACCAAACCCTTCCAGTGTTTTCTGTTGGTCATGGGAGTTCTGTGTGCCATGTTTGGTTCAATTCCATCGATGATGGAGTTCAGAATGCTCTTTGATAATAATAATAATAATAATAATAATAATAATAATAATAATAATTTATTTATACCCCGCTACCATCTCCCCAAGGGACTCGGTGCGTCTTACATGAGGCCGAGCCCACAATACACCAATACAAGCAATAACAGACACAATACAAAGCAATTAAAATAAATCTCATACACAAATACAAATAGCATAAACATTAAACAAGGTACAGGGCACATTTAAAATCTGTGGCTGGGCCAAATGTAAACGAAGTTTAAAAAATAATGCTGGGCATGAACAAGATAGAGGAGGTTGATTGTAGGTTAACTGTAAATCCCAGCAACTACAACTCCCAAGTGACAAAATCAACCCCTCCCCAACCCCACCAGTTTGGGTTTATCCAGACTTTGCCAACTTTGGTCCAGTGAATGAAACTACATCCTGCATATCAGATATTTACATTACGATTCATAACAGTAGCAAAATTACAGTTATGAAGTAGCAACGAAAATATTGTTATGATTGGGGGTCACCACAACATGAGGAACTGTATTAAGGGGTTGAGGAGCACTGATCTGCACTGTAGAAGGAATGCAGTTTGACACCACTTTAACTGACGTGGCTCGAGGCGATGGCATGCTGGAAGTTGTCCTTTCACAAAGTCTTGAGCCTTCGCTGCCAAAGAGTTCCTTGGCCTCGCCTAGGAGCCAAACCCCAGAGTCCCACGGCATTGAGCCAGGGCAGTTTAAAAAGGGATGGCAAACTGCATTCATTCCACAGTACTCACGCCTCTCTTGCTGCTTAATTCGGATCGGAGAAGGGAACAGTTTCAACGTGCCCTGGTCCTCAGGTTCCCCTCCCTCTCCAAAAGAGATCTGGAAGGGCCATTGAGCATTCAAGGACTGTACCTCCCCATATGGGACCTATACCTCCCCCTTGCCTTTTTCCGAGCTTCAGTTCACCTGGGTCTCTCCGGGGGTCCTTTCCTGACGCTCCTCATCTTGACTCAAGAGAAGATCCGGCGCCTCCGATGCCTTGTCTTTCTTCCTTTCTTTCCTGCCTCCCGGTTGATGCTTTGCAAAAAAAGTCCCGTTGCTACTCAAGCGCCGAAGAATCGTCCCATCCAATCTTGGCAAACTTTCCCAAGAAGCAGCAGCAGCAGCAGCAGCAGGAGGAGGAGGAATAGGAGTTCTAGCCAGACGCGAGGAAGAGATGCTGCTGCTGCTGCTTCTGCTCCTGGAGCTCCTCCCTTCCGAAATCGGCCCCCTCCCCCTCCCTTTCCCTCCCACCAGACCCCCTCCTGCTCTCCTTCTGCATTCCTTCTCCCCTAGTCTTTCCCCCCACCACCCACCCTTTCATTCAACCCCCACCGCAGAATCTCACTCCCATTTCTCTTCCTGCCTCTGAATTTGCCCAATTCCTCTTTGGCGCATCCAAACTGTTCCCCATTTTCCCTCAACTCATAATTCCAGATTTTATTTCATTGTATGAAAAAGGCAGTCAAAACTTTTTGGAGTTTTCCAGTCTGGAGGGAGAGGACTTCCTTTCCCAAAAGATGCCCCCCCCCCCGCCCCTTAAAAGGAGGGTTGAGAGCTTCAGCTCAGGAAACCTTCAGCACAATCAGCTTCAATGAGGATGACAATTGTTCTCATCATACTAGAAGGGAAAAAAATCCACTTTAAATCCGGTTTCTGCTTCCTGCAGAATTCTGGAGTTTGTAGTTTAGGGAGGAGCTTTTAACAGCCTCACTAAACTACAAACCCCAGAATTCTGCAGGAGGCAGAAACCAGATTTTAAGTGGATTTTTCTCTCTAGTGTGATGAAGGAGAATGTCTGGTATTTCAATGTCTGAAATCTGTGAGGAAGTGGGTTATGACTGACAAAAGTTGAGGCTCCAGTACTTTGTGGCTTTGACTTCTGAGGAACTAATGGTTCATGTATTTATTTACTTACCTTATTTATACCCCACCTTTCTCTACCCTGGGGGATGGGGACTCAAGGCATCTTACAAATGGCACCCACATAGTGCCTCAAAACATACAAGATTCACCTAAAAATTGTTTGGATTAAAATTACAACATAATAAGCATGATTAAAATACATTCAAGGTTAAAACACGCCATCCAGAGTTCAAGGTCTGAAGCCATTCAGTGATCACTTGCACATAATTCCACATTAAGATTACAGCACTGCCCTATTTTTCAAAAGCCTGCTCCCAGAGCCAGGTTTTGACTCTCTTCCTGAAGGCTAATAGGGAGAGGGCGGATCTGATGTCGCTAGGTAAGGAATTCCACAACCAAGGGGCCACCACTGAGAAGGCCCTGTCTCTCGTCCCCTGACAAACCATGCTTGCGAGGAAGGTGAGACCGAGAGCAGGGCCTCCCCAGACAATGTTAGTCTCCAAACTGGTTTATAGGGGAAGATACGTTCGGACAGGTAGCCTGGGCTGGAACTGTTTAGGGCTTTATAGACGTTTGACTAGACAATTCCCTTGGTATTTGGCTCCGGCTAGGATCCAAAATCCTGGCCACACACTTTATTACTGCTGTATCCAAAGCTAGAATGACCCTGCTATATTGCTCTTATCCTAAATGCTGTTACACAATCTATGCACTTTATCCACCAGCCCTATCCTCTGAAGTGTGGAGCACCATTCCGTCCTCCCATATTGAGACTTGAATCACACCATTGTTGTTGGTTTTGATGCTTGATTTATATATTGTTATAATGTTGTTTTAATGCTGTTTTAAATTGATGTCATGCATTTTAATGTGTTATATTTTTAACTTTGGTGATTGGGCTTGGCCCCATGTAAGCTGCCCTGAGTCCCTTCGGGGAGATGGAGGTGGGGTATAAAAATAAAGTTGTTGTTGTTGTTGTTGTTGTTCTTCTTCTTCTTCTTCTTCTTCTTCTTCTTCTTCTTCTTCTTCTTCCTCTTCTTCTTCTTCTTCTTCTTTTTTCTTTTTTTCTTCTTCTTTTCTTCTTCTTCTTTTTCCTTCTATCCTTTCTCTTCCTTTCTCTTTTCTCTTTCTCCCCTTTTCTTTTTTCCTTTTTCTCCTTCTTCACATTAACTCATTAATCCTTTCCACATCAACTTTATCTCACCACATCATT